TCTCACATCTTAATCATATCATGCTGAAGTTTTATTAACAGCTCACACAAATACACCATACATGAAAGATAATTTTACATGAAAACTTTTATGAACTAACAAGGAAATGCAGCTACCAATCGAAGTGTCGTCTTCTTTGTACAGCTAGTTAGCAAGGTGCTGGTACGCATAATCCACCCTCAGTACTCATCAAACGGCAGCAGAGCTGAGAAGTTTCACCATCTTAGATTGGAAGGGAAGTAAGTACTGCACAACAGGCATTGTTTAAATACAAATTTAAAAAGCCAAATCATTAACGCGGTGAAGAAAAATCAGGCTGCGCTTGAAAGGGAAGTTGAACCAAATGAAAAATCAGGTTGTGCTTGCTTACCTTTTCAATGAGAGAAAGATAGTATGGCTTCACCTTCTCAACATCAATCCGTTCCTTGCTCTTGCTGTAAAGGTGAGGTCATACTCATGGAATTTTAGACGAATCTTCTTTGGGGACGAAAATCGCTCCCACAAATTGGTGCTTTCATTGAGAGCGCGAAATAATACTCAAAAGGTGCTCCAAATCCATTTTCCACACTTTGTTTCACGCAAATCAATTCTTCGTATGTTTGAGTGAAACAAAGTCTGGAAAATGGATTTGGAGCACGTTCTGAGTATTATTTTGCACTCTCAATGAAAACGCCAATTTGTGGGAGTGGTTTTCGTCCCCAAAGAATATTCGTCTAAAATTCTGTCTTCCTCTTCGCTTCTCTTTCTCCCTGCAAAATAATACGGAGTAAAGGACCACATCCAGGGGGTGTTGGCCAAAGGCCCTCCGATGCCTAAGTTAGTTCGAGTGTTTGTAGAAAAACAATAGCTAACAAAAGGATGGAGATTTCTCTAGGGTGAATTGGATGGCCGGAGCCATGTGTGGTGGCCAGAGTCTTGTGTGAGAGAGTGAAAGAGTTATGGTGGCTAGGGTTTGTGAGATAGAATTTCTGCAGAGTTTCAGACAGAAGTTTAGACGTACCTCAACCCTTGTGTTAGCCATGTATTTATAGGAGCTTCGGAGGCTAGGGTTTCGGAAGAATAATTCCACAAATGGAAATGAATTATTCTTTCCCGATTTGGAGAGGTTGATATAATTAGGGATTTGATTTAAATCAAATCCTTCATTAATGCAAGAATCAAATAATTCCCAATTAAATCAAATAACTCTCAATTATGTCAAATAATTCCTAAATTGATTGGCTTAATTATTTGACCTAGGATCTGAGATATTTTGCTTCAAAAATATAGCTTTAAAGCTAATGAAACTTGAGACACACATCCGCATTTGCACACATAAGAGAAAGAGAGAGAGAGAGAGAGAGAGAGAGAGAGAGAG